GTGTGTGTGAGTCCCAACTAGGAAAAAAATAAATAAATAAATCATAAACTGTTATGCTGATTAGATCGGACCAACACATGATGTCAACACGTGATGTCCGTTCATCAACTAGACACGAGAAGTCACCGAGTTTCGAGAAATATTTAATTATAATAAATAATTGAATAGGATAATGTAAGTTTTAATATAAAGAAAATATTACTTTGCCCATTTATGTGACACTTATTATCAATTTATCAGGCATACATTAAATATATAAAACAATAATTACATCATACTTCAGATAACTGTTTCATCACCAAAGACGTACTCTAGTGATATATATTTTTTTACCATCGAAGCATAAGTTCGGGATTCAAAGATTCAAACTCACTGTTTCATCCCTAAAGATGTACACTAGTGATATATTTTGTTACTTTCAAAGCATAAGTTTGTAATTCAATGATTCAAGTTTTCATAAAAATCAAAAATCAAAGTGGGTGAACGAGTAAAAATAGTATTTTTTTACTGATGTACCATAAATAAATAAAGAAAAAAAAAAATACCTTTCCATCTACCACACGGTTTAAGATAAAAAAAGGAAAAAAAAAAAATTCTACCACACAGTTTATCTTTCATGAAATTTCTAGGTAAAAGTGCCAAAAAAAATCCCTAAATTTGAAAAATACCCCTACGAACTATATGAGGTTGTAAATCGAACCCTCATCTATACCAACGTTACAAAATGGACCCTCCCGATCACCGGATCACATTTTTCGACGTCTGTTCATTCCCGCGCCAATGTATTTTCAAGTAATGCCCAAATTACCCTTTTGAATGACTATTATACCCCGATAAAAGTGCAAAAACCCCTGAACTATCAATAAAATAAAAAATAACCCCCTGATCTATCTCAGATTGCAAATCAAATCCTGAACTATACAATTTATTTTTGTTATTATTTCAAATTATTATTATTATTACTACCACCACCACTACTACTATTATTGTTATTATTTAAACTATTTTTTTTTATAATTTATGAGCTTCCTAATAATAATAATAATAATAATAATAATATTATTATTATTATTATTATTATTACTATTATTGTTATTGTTGTTGTTGTTAATTCGTTGGGGGTAAAAGTGATTCACATATCTTGAAGCTAAACAATTTATTTTTGATATTTTACTATTATTATTATTATTGATATTGTTTATTATTATTAGGCAAATTTTTAATCCTCCTCATCTCATGTGTACATGTAATTTAATGGTTGAGGTTTAAAAATAGGGTTAATTTCACTCACGCCCCTTCAGGTTTGGCCAAATATCACACTGAAACATCTTTCAAAAATAACTATCAGTCACATCACAAACGTTTGTTCCGTTTTTCACTTACACTCCGAAAGTTACTTTTCAGGTGTGTCAGATATCTTTTTGTATGTAAAATTACATTACTACTCTTCTAACTATCTTTTAACTTTAAAAAGTATTGAAATGACTTGAATACCCTTTGACCTTTATTATATAAATTTAAAATTATTCTTTATATATATATATATATATATATATATATATATATATATATATATCATCATGTAGACCCACCTCCAATTTAAAATTATTCTTTATATATATATATAAAGAATAATTTTAAAAATAATTATAATTTAATTGGTGTACATAATGAGAAATATATATGTCATCATGTACACCAGTTTTCTCCACCTTTTCTATATCTTTTTCTTTTTTTTTCCTTTTTTTTTTATTTTCTAATTTCCTTTTCTTCTTCATTACTGCGGTCAAAGAATTTTTCTTTTTCCCTTTTTATTTTATTTTCTTTTTATTCATTATTGTTCGATTTACTGATAGAAAGAAGATTTGGTATCGCCATCTCCTAGCTTCCGTCCTTTAATTTGCCCGAATTCTGTCTATAGAATAGAATTATAAGAAGGGCGGATCCAGTGGATTATTATTTCGGATCAAATGATCTTGTTTACATGGGATTAGTGGTTCAGTCATCCAATATTCGGCAAAGAAGAAAGACAGAGAGGCCATTAATGGTTCCTCACTCGATGCCAGAGATCATGAATTCTTCTGTCTCCAATGAATTGGGGTTCACCATCCAGCCCCAAGCCACAACCACAATGAACACCAACCGTTGCCTCGTCGGAGTTGCGTCACCGTCACCATCACCATCTTTTTGCTCACGACCATTCCAATTTCCTCATCGTGCAATAGTGGGTTTGCAACGGCAGGGTATGGGTTGATTGTGATCGACGATGATGGGGTTCTGGGTTTGCTATTGGGTTTGGAATTCTTGTATGGGTCTTGCGTTTGGTTTTGTTGATGGTGTTACAGGCATGAGTGATAGTGGTCTTGGCTTGGTGGTGGATAAACGATGATGGGTTTTTGGATTTGCAATTGGTTTTCATGGTTTTGTTAGTTCGTGGCTCGTATATGTAGAGAAGAGAGAGAGAGAGAGAGAGACAGAAGAATAGTAGAGAAGAGAGAGAGGCAGGAGAAAGAGAGACACATAGGAGTTTAATTAAGGATATAATAGTTATTTAGGTTATATGATATTTTAGAATAAATGTGATTAAAAAATTAAGGGGTAAAATTGTATTTTTTTATTTTCTTAACGGAGACCGTAATAAAAAAAAACAAAAATGGACTTAAGTGATAGTTATTTTCGAAAAATGTTTGAGATTAATACTTGGCTAAACCTGAGGGGGTGTCAGTAAAATTAACTCTTAAAAATATGTTTTAATTACCTTTAGTAATGAGAAATGTTCCTTGTTTTCTGTTGTCAACCTCTAAAAATGCAAAACGAAAATAAAAATTGCGTTAGTAAAATATTTTTGTTTTTTTATAACAGAAAACGTTTTCAATTTTTGTAAAGAAAAGAGAAAACGTCAAAATGATATTTCTTATACTTTTGGCATTGTAGCGCATAATGTTTTCGCTAATGTTACAGTATTCATTTTAAATAAAATTCATATTATTTGTGTTATATACTAAGTTACATATTAAATGTTAATAAAAATATATATTTTTAATATAGAATGAATTAAATATTGCATATTATTTTGTATTTGATAAAAATATATTTTAATATATAATATATTAAATAATAATGTAAATTATTTTTTATAACAAAATAATTTTTGATATATAATATAATGTTATTAAATTGTTAAGCAGTTGATATTTTATATTATTATATATCATATATATATATATATATTATATGTAAATATTAAATAATAATTAATTTACAATATTATAACACAACGTATATTTTATTACATATAAGATATATTATTTAATATTTTTTATTCATAATAAATTATCATATACTAAATATATTATATAGGGTAAAGTGCATTAAACCCCCTTGAATTATTAGTCATTTGCAAGAAACCCCCCTGATTTACAAAAAACTCCCCTGAACTGTGATTTTGTTATAATTTACCCCCTTGAACTATTGGTCATTTGCAAGAAACCCCCTTAAACTACAAAAAACTCCCTTGAACTATGATTTTGTTGCAATTTACCCCCCTGAACTATGATTTTGTTGTAATTTACCCCCATGACATCAGCTTCCGGCACCAAAAATTTTGAAAGACCAGTTTACCCTTATAAAACACTGCGTCGTTTTAACTTATACACTTCTTACATTTTTTTTTCTGCCAAAAGATATTTTTCACCCAACACAACCTAAAACAGAGAACTAGAGAGAGAAAAGACCAAAGAAATCCGAGGTCGACGGAATGGCTCGGTCTCGGATGATGGCGGCTTGTGCGTGGAGGACTCGGCTGTGATGAGAGCTTGGTTAACTCGGCCGTGAACTGTGGAGGCGGCGATGAGCTCAAGGGGGCTCGGCGGTAAACTGTGGACGGCTGTGTGCTCGAAACACGGACGGCGGTGTGCTCGATTATGGAGATGGCAGAATGAGCCAGCGAGCTTGGAATGGACAATGGTATGGACCAGCGAGCAAGGTGAGCTGAACGGCGGGCAAGGCGGTGACGGCGATGGGCTGACGCAACGGTGCAGAGAAGTGCGATATATATGGCCGACGGATCTGGCGGGTGGTGCAATGGCTATGATGGAGCTATGACAGAAGACCCATCGATCCCAACAACAAATTCCTCGGCTTCATCGTCCCTTTCAGTCAATCAATTCGCGCGAATGAGATAAACTGCAAAAAAATATATAGTTTAGGGGGGTTTATTGCACATACCCCAATAGTTCAGGGGGGTTTTTTGCAACTTTTATAGTTCAGGGGGGTCTCTTGCACATACCCCAATAGTTCAGGGGGGTTTTTTGCAACTTTTATAGTTCAGGGGGGTCTCTTGCACATACCCCAATAGTTCAGGGGGGTTTTTTGCAACTTTTATAGTTCAGGGGGGTCTCTTGCACATACCCCAATAGTTTAGGGGGGTTTATTGCAACTTTTATAATTCAGGGGGGTCTCTTGCACATACCCCAATAGTTCAGGGGGGTTTTTTACAACTTTTATAGTTCGGGGGTTTCTTGCACATACCTCAGTAGTTCAGGGGGGTTTAATACACTTTACCCTATTATATATCATATAATAAATGTATACATCATGCATATACATGTATTTATATATATAACCGGTGGGAATGTTTTTATCTTTATATATTTAATTTTGTACTTATGATGTATTGGGTATTTTTAAGATTTATAATTTGAAGTTAGATTTTCTAGATTTATAGCTTTTTTATATTAATAAAAGTAAGTGTCGTGCCTTGGTGATTAGATTGCTCCTAAAATTTTTGTCATGAAAAAAATAAAAAATAAAATAAATTTTTTTAAAAATATTAAGTACATTTTGCGACAAATGTTATATTACTAAACACAATTATTGTGACAACAACAAATATTAACAAACATCATTTTTGTTTTCTATTTTTAGAAAACAAAATCATGTTTCCCTTTTCTTAAAACTACGAAAACAGAAAACGAGTAACGCACCCTAAAATGTTTAAAAATGTTGAACAACCGAAGAGCATAAATTTAGCAGGTTATATAATATACCTGCAATTAGAGCTTTTAGTTCAAGATTGTTCCAAACTTGTGAACCACCTTGGGGAGAGAGGGGTCAGTGACGAATGAGGTCGGATTCGACTACCAGAGCCAGAGGCCATACAAAAATTTAGGGTTTTGAGAAAGTTTCAAGTTTTACAGACAGATATATATATATACATATACATATATATATATATATATTTATATATATAATCGGCCCACACACACCGACTGCTATACTGCTCCAGCCCTGGGGAGTGAAAGTTATCAATTCAGACACTGTTGTTGCGCCGATTGGTTTCGGTACATGTTCAGGATGGAGATTGATTCTTCTCCAGAGGCTAATACTCTTTCTGCTCGAGATCGAATCGTTCAGGTAAATTATTCGAATAGCCTATCTTCTCAATTGTGTGCAGTAAAGGAAAGTAAAATAGTGTTTTGATTTCGATTGCACAAATTGGTGCAGAGTAAATTGGTACACGATTCAATTTTTTTATTTTTCTCCTTTTCCTTTCCCTTCCCCTCTTCATTCACACTTCTTGTGAACTGAACAAAGTTTAATTCTGTGTATGAGTGCTCGTTTGTTGATAATTGGTGAAGAATGGCAAATAATGCTTCTTTATTTCTTTTTTTATTTTTTTATTTTTTTCCTGGCACTAATTTGGGAAAAAAACCATCAATTTATGTGGGAGATTATGTCGGTGTCTTCAATTTTTTCTTCATGGAATTTTTTTCAGGGATTTTGTGGGAATCTTTCCTATTACTTAGTTCATTTCTCTTCAGATTATTTTATGACCGTTGGCTCCATCGTATATCATGTTCTGATCAGTACTTCAATTTACGTGAGAATTTGGATTATCTGCTGGGTTCTGGGTCGACCATGATAAAGTAGGTTATCTAAAATTTTGGATGTTAGATTTTTCTTTGTTGTAAATTATGAGACTGAAAATTTCAATCGACAGAATGCGGTTCTGCCACCTGTTTTTGTTTCGAGTAATTACTTCCTGAAAAGGAAAAGAGCATAGAATATGTCATTTCTCTTATTTTCATATTTTTTTCTTGGAAACCAGATGCTGAATAATTGGTTGATCAGTGATCAGTTGAATTACATTGTGATATTGTGCATTTGCTTGTGACTTTTTCTGTGATAAATGATTTGCTTTAATAAAAATATTTTTGTTATGATTCAAATCCTGTTTGTAAGTGGTTTTTACTCCTCAATGTCACTAAGAAAGTTTCCATTGTTGATTTAATTCTGGTCTTTCCTGAACTAAATTTGGATCATGAATGGTAATACAATTTCACATCTGTTTCTTAATTCTATACCAGAGGCTTGCCCTACAAGGAGTTCATCTGGATAATCTTGAGCAGCTCGAGCCAGGTCTAGTTTCGTTTCTTAAGGATAACAAATTCCGAATACCGGATCTGGTGTGTGCTATCTTACCTACCGATGAGGAAGCAATTGAGCATCCTCTGGAAGCTCAGTCAGGGTCTACGAAAGCTTTGGTGGGCCCAAAGCTTGAAGATCAATTACTTGAAAGCATGGTTTGGTTGCAATGGTTGATGTTTGAGGGTGAGCCAGGTGTTGCACTGAAGAAGCTGGCTAACATGAGTGTTGGTCAGCGTGGTGTCTGTGGGGCTGTTTGGGGAAACAATGATATAGCTTACCGCTGCAGAACATGTGAGCATGACCCAACTTGTGCAATTTGTGTTCCTTGTTTCCAGAATGGAAACCACGAGGACCATGATTATTCTATCATATATACGGGTGGTGGTTGCTGTGATTGTGGGGATGCGACTGCATGGAAACGTGAGGGGTTTTGTTCGAAGCATAAAGGCGCAGAACAGATACAACCTCTTGCGGATGAGTTTGCAAACTCTTTGGGGCCTGTTCTTGATTCCCTTCTTATTTGTTGGAAAAACAAGTTACTTTTTGCAGAAACTACTTCTCAAGGTAGTCCTAAAGTAGACGTTCATGTTGCTGAGCTCAAAAAGATTGCAGATGAGCTAACATCTGTAGTGGTGGAGATGCTTTTAGAATTCTGTACATACAGTGAAAGTTTGCTCAGTTTTGTTTCTGGGAGGGTTTTCTCTTCAGTTGGTTTATTGGACATTCTGGTGAGGGCGGAGAGGTTCATAAGAAATGAGGTTGTTAAAAAACTCCATGAATTACTTTTGAAATTGCTCAGTGAACCTGTGTTCAAATATGAGTTTGCAAAGGTGTTTCTTAGTTATTATCCATCTATTGTAAGCGAAGCGGTAAGAGAGTGTAATGATACTGTTTACAAGAAGTATCCACTTGTATCTACATTCTCAGTGCAAATTTTCACAGTGCCTACTCTAACCCCACGCCTTGTGAAGGAAAATGATCTTCTGGCCATGCTGTTGGGTTGTCTGGAAGACATTTTTATTTCTTGTGCTGGAAAAGACGGTCGACTACAGGTAATGTGTTTATTCTTATTTTTGCTTCTGCAAGGTGCTTGAACAATTATATAATTGTATTCTTTTGATTATGCACTCTTTGAAGCAGCATCAGGGTGGAATGATGAACTTGGGGATTTAACTTACATTTTCTGTAGAAGTGCACGGTTTCTAATGGTTACGTGTAGTCGTAGACTTGCAGCTTTTAAATTGCCTTAGAGAGAAGTGAATCTTCAATTTATATATATGTATTTTTCCCATTCAATTAGCATACTATAGCATTGTGTCAGCCAGACATAGGTGCTCCATTATTCTCCTTCTCTTGACACATTTCTTCTTTTCCATTGCAAGGGTACATGTTTAATATTCTTGCTTAGGATTTGTCTGATACTATTTTTGTTGATTAATTATTATATTGTGCTTTGAATTATGTTATTAATCTAATTATTTTACATTTTTTAATTCCTGTTTTGATTCTGATATTTTGCTACCTGTTAAATAGTTCCGTTCGCTGTCATTTATGCAATCATTAACTAGACAATCCCAGTTAATGTAAGTAACTATACAATTTATGTAGCGGAAATGAAAATGCTAAGATGGGTGAGTGGAGTGACTAGGAGAGAGTCACTAATGGGAAAGTGAGAGAAAAATTAGTGGCGGCTCTCATTCGTGAGAAAATTAAAGAAAGTAGACTTACCCAGGGGAAAAAAAAGAAAGAGAGTAGACTTAGATAGTTTGGACACCTACATCGGAGACCTAGAGACGCACCGGTCAAACAAAAGACTAGTTGTAATAGAAGGTAAGAGATGGAGAGGGCGACCAAAAATAACATTGGATGAGGTTATTAAAAATCATTTTAAACCGTTAAATATAGTAGGCGAAATGGCATGTAATAGGAAGGATTGGAGAAAGAGAATTCATGTGGCCGACCACATTCATATGAGATTAAGGCAAGGATGATGATGATGTGAAAAAAAAAAAAAGGATGATGATGATAATACAATTTATGCTTGAAAATGAACAACAATGGAGTGTGTTCACGTGTCAAGTTGGATAAATTAATGTAGTGTATCCCAAAAATTTGTTTTTGCACGTTTTCTTCAATCTTTGATTTAAATAAATATGGAATAATTTGAGTTGATGGGCAATGGTGCACCCATAATCACATCCAGGCAAGAAGAGGATTTAAATACAGCATAAGCAATGATAGCAAATTTATTTAGTTAATTTTTTAATATTTATTTAATTTTTATAAACACTATCTTAACTGGAGAAAGATGATTTTGTGCAACCAAGACCTGGACCTGTTCCTAACATCTTTCTGCTTTTAGAAATAGCTTTCTATCCCCCTTGATTTAGCTACTTTGACCCATCAAATATGGGGCTGTATTGTGTGTGGGGTATTCCTCGAGTAAATCCCCAGGAGTGTTGGTATTGTCTAATGCTCATCCTCAAATTGATTGGTAAAATCATACACAGTTTGTTCTATGTCAGCTAAATTTGCCTTGATTGAGAATTTATTTATATTGTCAATTGTTATCCATTGAATGGGTTTGGTAAATGATGCCCTTACGCACAACCATAGCTTGCTACGTCGAAAGAAGTTTTTGCTTGGGTAAATACAAAAACATGGCATAATGTGGTCCACACAAGAATGTTTCAGGTGCACTCCCACAAATTTAAGCCTTACTGTGCTGATTATAACCTACGTGGGCTACAAAAGTATCAGTTGGGGCCACGCTCATTCGGCCTCTAAGACACAGCACACTCAATGGCTTGAATTCCTGAATTCTATAGGGCTCTTTGTGCTCTATTCCCGTGGGACAAAAAAGAAGAAGCAATCGGATCAATTTTATTGTATTGTAATTAGTAATACAAACACATGTTCTAACAGGAACTTGAATACTGCACTTGGCCCCTTTGAAGGTGGCAGGAAATACCACTCACGTTAGCGGCCGCACTAACCAACTTCTGCTTTCTGTTTTTTCTTTTGTTGAAACTTATTTGTTCAACCATACATAAAAATTTAAACACGCGAGGACAAGTTTCTCTCTCCCCCCCCCCCCCCCCCCCCTCCCACTCTCAAATATATATAAGTTTTGTTGATTTGACTTGGTAACTCACAGGCATTTAATCTGACTAGGTCTAACATATGTAAGGAAGAGTTGGAACTCAAAAGCTCAATGGTACCAGAAATCAGAGGTCTGATGCAGCAAGCAGAAAGGAAATCCCTGGTCAATGTGTAAGAAAGGGATAGTGTTTGGAGCTATGAGTAGGCAAACCAAACTGTTATGACAAACACAACGAACCCAAGTCGAATCAAGAATCAAGACAGAAAAGTAAACATGCTATACAAAGAACACAGAGATTTATACGTGGTTCAGCAACAGCCTACGTCTACGGTTGGGATCCGGCAAAAGTTTTCACTATGTGTAAAATCGGAGATTACAAGTTTTCAGCCCGTCACTCTATTTTTGTACGAATTTCAGAGTCTTTCTCTTCCTCCACTCCAAACCCTAAGCGCCCTTATATATCAGGTTACAAGAGAATAATTAGGGCCCGTTTGGGAAGTGTAGTGTGATGTAGTGTACTGCTCTAGCCTAGAACAGAACAAGTGTTGTGTGATGTAGTGTTCTGAAAGGAGAACAAAACATGTTTGGGGCGAAAATTTTGTTCTGAGAATTTTGGAATAGAAATTATTATTATTATTTTTTATAATTATTTTAAATTAAAAAAAATTAAAACAAAACCCACAAGTTTGCAGTTACAAAGAGAGACAATATCAATCCGTTTTCTTCCATTTATTCCAAGGCAAAGATTCAACAATCCTTAACCAAAATCAAGGAACTATCCTTACGTTGTTGAATAGAAATAAAGAAGGCCAATCTTTGATAATTTTGTCATCATCCAATTGTTCTCAAATTGGTCCATTCAAAGAAAGATCGAGAATAGAGATGGAGGCGTTTGGGAGGCTGAAATGATTTGCCCTAAAAAAAACAATTAAAACAAAACCCACAAGTTTGCAGTTGCAGAGATAGAGATTGAGAATAGAGATGGAGGCGTTTGGGAGGCTGAAATGATTTGCCCTAAAAAAACAATTAAAACAAAACCCACAAGTTTGCAGTTGCAGAGACAGAGATCGAGAATAGAGATGGAGGCGGGAGGCTGAAATGATTTGCCCTAAAAAAAATTAAAACAAAACCCATACAGCTTTGCAGTTGCAGAGAGAGAGAGGGGGAGAGACTAGGGCAAGTTCAGAGTTGAGAACGAGAATAGAAATGGAGGTGGGACTTCTGATCCTTGTAGATTTTGTACTCTGTAGTTGCAGAGAGAGAGAGAGACTAGGGCCAGTTCAGAGTTGAGAACGAGAATAGAGATGGAGGTGATTGGGAGGCTGAAATGATTTGTGGAACACTTGGAACAAGTTTTTTTTGTTCCAACATTTGGCCCAAATAGTGCAAAGTGTTCTGATACTGTTCAGTCCAGCACAGCCTCCACCAAACATGTTTTGGGCCTCAATAGTGCTACTGTAGCACTATTGGGAACAAAACAGCATAGCACGGAACATCCACCAAACAGGGCCTTAGGGTCCACGACCCATGAGCAAAAAACGGGTCAAAAAAATTTCCTCGGGGCCAAGGCCTCGAACCCCCAAAGCTCGTAATGCGACCCGGCACCAAATTCGGGCCACAATATCACAAATCTCTACCTTGGCTCAAATTACGCCAAACTCCACAATCTCCAGCTACTCCTGTCACCACCTCCACATGCCCCTAAGGGCCTCAGCAACTACACGTACCAATCAAGTCTGAACTTGAGTGTAGGAATGACCTTAGTCATCATATCTGCCAGATTCTTTACTGTCCCAATCTTCTTCACTGCAATAGCACCCTGTGCAATCACATCTCTGATGAAGTGAAACCTGACATCAATGTGCTTGCTCATTAAACATATAATTTTTAATCAAATGTATGGCACTCTGGTTGTCGCAAAACGCAGTCAAATCATCTTGCTGCAAACCCAAATCACCAACCGAGCCTATCAACCATATAACTTCCTTCACTGCCTCTGTAGCTTCCATGTACTCAACCTTAGTAGTAGACAATGCAACTACGGGCTGCAAAGTCGCCTTCCAACTGATCACACTCCCACAAAGAGTGAAGACATACCTTGTCAAGGACCTTCTCCTATCAAGATCTCCAGCATAATCCGAATCAACATGTCCAGCAACACTCCCACACGTGTCGCTGCCTCTGTCATAGACTAACCCAACATCTGCAGTGCTTTGCAAGTATCGTAATATCCACTTCACAGCTTGCCAATGGAGCTTCCTAGGTCTATCATGTATCTGTTCACTACACTAACTGCATGTGAAATGTCTGTCCTAGTGCACACCATAGCATACATAAGGCTACCAACTGCACTAGCATAAGGAACACGAAACATGTGCTCCACCTCCTCCTCGGTTTGTGGTGACAATCGTGCTGAAAGTCTAAAGTGGGCAGCCAATGGAGTATTCACAGGTTTTGATGCCTGCATACCGAAGCGTTCCAGCACCTTCTCAATATCCTCTTTGCATACAATTTGCCCGCTCCTCTATCCTGTGAATTTCCATTCCCAATATCCTCTTTGCAACACTAAAATCCTTCATCTCAAATTCACCACTAAGCTGAGCCTTCAACATATTGATTTCAGACATGTTCGTGCAAGCTATCAACATGTCATCAACATACAACAACAAGTACAAATACGAACCATCTGAGAGCTTCCTGTGATACACACAATTGTTAAATTTACTCCTACAGTAGCCATTCCCAATCCTAACCATAAAGGTGTCAAATCGCTTGTACCATTGTCTAGGAGATTGCTTCAGCCCATACAAGGACTTCTTCAGTAGGCAAACATGATCTTCCTTTCCCAGAATCTCAAATCCCTTAGGTTGATGCATATAGATCTGCTCCTCCAACTCACCATAGCAAGTAACACCCAGATTGAGCTATGTTTTACCATAGGAGAAAACA